TCAGCAGATTATATCTCGGTGAGGTCTGTTCTGAGATGGTGGAGTCTGACTGGGTGCATAGTGGTGGTTTTGGATTGTGAAAGCAAGTGGATGCTGGGATCTCTGCTTGGTTGGCCCACCCTACTCCAATTTACCCTGGTCTGTTCAGCCTTGCATGGGTCTGAAATTAACTGTAGCTTTTGATCTCTTTTGAGATTTATTTATGGGTCTCTAAAGCAAGGCTGGTAAATGAGCTTGTGTAGCTGAGCCGGAGCTGGTTTGTGGCCGTGGCTCCCACATACCTACCTTTTGGCTGTTTAATTTCTCAGGAAACTTGGTTCTGAGTTGTTGGGGTCCAGCCAGAGGCAGAGGAGCAATTTGGGGTATCAGAAAGCCTGAAGGCATCATCAAGCTGCTTATGCACTTGCCCTGGGTACTGGTTGATCTGCTGGCAACTCAGCACTCCCTCTCTGTGTGTTTAATTTGATGGAAGCTTGCACTTTTAACTGTGGCAATTTTCCATCAATCTATTAACTTCATCTCTATCAAGGACTAAAAACACATGCTTTATCTATTATATGACTCTTTTACAGTGGTAAAAATGTGTGTGGTATGTGACTGTAGTGAAATGATGAAAATCAAGGTGGTTTGTGTTAAATATTTTATTTGTAGGCACTTTGAAATCTAATAAATGATAATCACTGGCACATTTTAGGGTGGAAGAAAGCATGAAAGCTACATTTGTTCATTTGAGGTTTTAATAAAATTATTTATGCCCACTTAATAGAAAGCAATCCATTAATAGAAAATAAGATACAATTCATTTTCATTTTTATAACAATATTTAAGTATATTTAAACTAGCTCATTTTATTCAAATAGGAACTGGGAAAATCTCTGGGTCTCTAACTTGGGTGTGTATAAAGATCACCTGGCTAACCCACTGTGAAATGCTTGTTTTTAGAGTCCTATTCTCCAGTGCCCTAGAGTTTGAACATTGAGTTTCTTTTGGAGCAAGAAAATTTCCTTCCTTCCTTCCTTCCTTCCTTCCTTCCTTCCTTCCTTCCTTCCTTCCTCCCTTCCTCCCCCTCTCTTTCCTGCCTTCCTTCCTTCCTTTAAGGAGTTTAGATAACAACATTTTCTTGGTCATGTTTATCCAAACTTTGGATCATCTTTAATTGACTCTTCTTTTACCTGGAAAAGTTAATGTAATCAGTAAATTATAACCTTTCTTCTTTTTAAAAAAGAATGATGGTTGAAAGTAGGGAGGCCACCTGCAGAAATGCACTTGCCATGAGCTTTATTTTCTTTTCTTCTCTTTGCTCTAAGCAAGCATTCTCCCATATCCTTACAGATGCTTCAGATAACTTTGCTAAGGTGCGCATATGCTTTGAATAAACCTTAAAGTTTATTTGTTGAGTTACACTATATGTGTATTTGTTTATTTTTGTTTTGGGTCCAGAATTGACTGTGCTTAGGGATTTTTCTAGGTTCTGTGCTCAGGGATCACTCTGGGTGCTGGGGATTGAACTTTGGTCTTCCTCATGGAAGGCAAGCACCTTACCCACTGTACTGTTCCTTCTACTTTGGCAGTATTTTTGAAAAAGAGCGTGTTCTTCCTTAGTCTTAGGCTGTTGCCATATTGAAATGTTCAATGTTTTCCATGAATGTTGAGTTTTTAAATTTTTTTCTTCTCTTCTGCTCATTATGTACAAACTGTTTTTTCTTCCTCTCTGCATGTAAAAATTATGCCTGGCATTCTCTGCTCTCCCTGAAGTCTTTCCCGACCTGACTTCCTCTTTCGTTGCCTCTTTTTCATTTCTCAGTAGCTTATCTGGACTTCCATCATACTTTAGTAGATATGACGTAGTTGATTGTTTTGTTCCTTACACTGGCTAAATGCTCCTGGATGGCAGAGATTTTGTCTCTCTAGAAGTGCCTGGTGTAGTAGTGTCCTGAAAGTAGATGTTTCACAGGACCTGGAGGGAAGAGTGAAGAGTATGTCAGGAAGGCTTTTCTTTTGTTATCAGTATCTCCATGGAAGTGACTCTTCTTAGTTAGCTATAGCTGAGATGAGCCTGTTTGTACTCCAGACCCTCATCTTCCATTGCTCATAGAGCCCCATGGGACTGTAATATTCCACAAGGATCCCCTTAGAGATGCCAACTTTGTTTCATTCTTAAAAGAAGTTGTTTTGGAGGGTTTGCTTTGGTGCTCTGTGACACGAGTCCCTATTTTACTTTCTCTGCTGCTTTTTTTTAATGATGTGATAGGTAGGAGGGGTACTAAATTACGTGGTTGAGTTTGTCATTGGTGCCCATAGGACCTGTGAAACATTTGTGGGTCAAGAAGTGCTCCTACTCACCCAAGGCCGGCTGTATTTGTCATTAGTACCTTTTCTTTTCTGAGAAACATGTATGTAACACTCTCTTGGAATCTTAGTACATTGAAAAAATAATCATTATTATTCTTTCAGCAGCCCAAGCAGGGTATTTTATTTTTTAGCTTATATCACCGAATACTTAAATAGTGAGAAAAGAGAATTCAATTAAGAAAAAATTGTACTATTTCTATGTTGGCTTGGAATGCTTGATTTTGGAAATAGATTTCCATGTATGTTATCGGTTATAGTTAAGAGGATTTAGGATGAACCATAAAATAGATGCTCATGTGTATGTATGTCATTATCTCCATTTACTGCCAGTTACAGTTAGTAATAAAATATGCTTCTGAGTTGTCTTCCAGGAAGAGAAATGGTTTGGATTTGGAAATCACGAGTCAGGTTTGTCCATGCCTCTTCCTGCTGTTCCCAGGTTAATGAGGGCTCTTGAGGGGCTCACTCTTCAAATGAAATAACAGCTCTTTGCTGATAATGCTTTGGAGTTTTGGCAACAAACTCATTAATGTCTATATATTTCTTCCAGTAGCATGGTGTCTGCTAAGTTAGATCTTAATGGGCTAGCTATGGCTGATGTTCTAGTCACCAGGGTATACTAGTTCTATTACCACGAACTAGGAAGAGTCAACAATCCTTTGGAAGTTGGAATGTGAAGTCTAATTTTGTTTTTTGGTGGACTTAGGGATCTTGAAAGGAAGACTCAGCTGGTATGATGACATGTTTCAGCAGTGTGTGGAATTTTTCCAGCATGGTTTTACAAGACCACCATCTTCACCTTCCCACCCTTTTTGGTCTGATATCCTGTGACTCATTCCTCCCCACTCTGCATTGCTCTTAACCTCCTGCCATGTCTTTCGTGTCTCGTCTGATGGCATGCCTTTTCATGCATTGTTTGCTTTGCTGTAATACCTTCTACCTCTTTACCATTGTCATGGGTTTTCACTCATTCTGTTACACCCAGCTTTCTCTGCCTGAGTTCTTTACCACTTGGTTACTTGTTTTGCCTCTATGTTCTCTGGGTGCAACGTGTGTACTTCTAATGGCGCGAGGGCAATCTGAGTATGTAACGTGGATTTTTCTGCATATGAATTTCCATAACTGTTTTGAGGGATCTTGATGGATATAAACATGGTTTTGTTCCATTGTTACTACTAATATAAAATTTAACTATATGTTCATGAATGAAGTTGATATACATTAAGCTCTCACATTAGATAAGCTTACATAAAACTGATTTTCATGATGTAAAATCATGAAGAAGAAAAATTTGTTATTCAAAATGTGTAATTTTTTTTCTCAAGTGAAATTGGAGGCGTTTATTTCTGATTGAGATAGATATTTGCATACGAGTGTACATTCAAGGCTTAAAAAGATCTTCTGCATTGACTTTATTCATCAAGACCTTTGTTGTTTGTCTTTCTTTTAGACATGATGTCTGATTCTATCAATATGCTATTTCACTTTTAGCTGTGGAACAGTATAAGGAATTTCGATTTATTAGGAGGGAAAGGAATCCATGTGATTTTTGTTTCTTCATTTCCAGCAGTATTATTTCTCTAACAATTTGCTGTTTATTAATGGGAAATAAGGACATTTAAACTATTGACAAAATTATTTCTGGATTGAGTGATACTTAAAACTTATTTTTGAGAAAAACTTGAGCTAAGTGTTCTTACTGAAATAAAACCTGTAATATAGTTAGAAAAGTCACAAGGTCCACATTATTCATTATTGAGAACTTATTACATGCCAGGCAAACCACTAGTTGCATATAAAGTATGCATCTGCCTGTTCAAACTTTCAGTCAATAATTGAGTACCTAATAGATAATAGATAATTTACTAGGTACTAAATTATTCAAAAAGTTTTTAAACAGTGTTTGAGTTAGAGATTATTGTTATTGTAGATGGAAAAGATAAGGCAATGTGATTAATTTCAAAACAGACTTGTGTAGTTATTTACCTGAGAATTAAACCAAAGCCTCTGTGTTCCATAGTATATAATTAGCATTTTCTTTTCTTACTATCTGGCTGCTTTGTATCATTTATAAAGTTTTCTATTGATATTTTGGTGTTAGATATTTCTTGAGTGTTGATATTTGTCACATAAAAATTATAATAGAATACTTTGGTGACAGAAATATTTATCCAATATTGAATCTTAAATGATTATAAGTTTTTAATGATACAGTTTAAAAAAATTATTTATTTATTTATTGCTTTTTGGGGTCACATCTGGCGATGCACAGAAGTTACTCGTGGCGCTCTGCACTCAGGAATTACTCCTGGTGGTGCTCAGGGGACCATATGGGATGCTGGGATTCGAACGTGGGTCGACCACTTGCAAGGCAAATGCCCTACCCGCTGTGCTATCGCTCCAGCCCCTTTATCATACAGTTTTAATAAAATTTTATGTCACTGTATCATTAATGTAAATCCAATCTTAGATTTTAGTTTTTAAACCAAGGAAAAAATGATTCTTAAGGTTTATGGTTCATAAGGTTTTTCAATATGTGCTTTTGTTTGTATTTTCATTTTATTGAAATTATGTCCTTTTAAAGTTTAAAATAATTTAGATCTTTTAGCTACAAAGTTACTTACAGTTATTTTGTATCTTCCAAATAGGTACCAAGTACTTGCTTTTGCAACGGATGCAGATAAAAAACAGGAGACTGAACAGCAAAAACTTGGTTCTGGAAAAAGACTAGTTGTAAGCCTTTAAAAAAACATAAATTGCAGTAATTTTATAGCTTTCATAAATGTTTGCATTGAATTATAATTGCTGAACAATATATTTCAGACTTTTCTCCTTTCTGGCATGGTATTATCAAAGGTCTAAGAATTGAAAAAAAAATTTTTTTTTTTTTTGCGGTGCTGGGTATTGAACTCAAAGTCTCAGATATAAAGGCATGTGCTTTAGCACAAGCCACATCTATGCTTCGATGATTAAACAATGTAGTTGACTTTTATTGAGCAATGGAAACTCCTGCCTGGTCATAGTCATAACATATCAGATTATAGGGTTGAAACACTAGAATTAACAGATTTCTGGGGGAAGGGTCACTTTTAATTGAAGTGATTATAAAGTAATAAAACAAAATAGATGACCCTCCTTCCCCCCCTCTACCTTTAAAGGGAAAGTTACTACCCATAGGCATTTGACTAAGGCATTTAACAGAGAAAAATCACAAACCCTACTAAGATAAAATTAGCTTAAAGCATGGAGAGATAGGACACCTTGCAGGCAGCCACCCAGGATTCATTCCCAGGCACCACATATGTTCCCCCGAGCACTGCCAGGAGTGATCCCTGAGCACAGAGCCAGGATTAAGTCCTGAGAAGAGCTGGGTGTGTCTTCCCAAACAAAAACAGGTGAAAAAAATAGATAAAATCTGCTCAAAGGGGGATTTCTAATTGAAAACAATATGAAGAAAATGATAAAGGATGAATTCTCTGGGATTCAAGAACTAGATGATGGTGAACTCTTCTTATTCTGATAACTCTATCAACAGGAAGACAAAAAAGTAGTTAATACTGAAATCAGATGGAAAGCGTCAAGTGAATTTGAGACACATGCAAAAGAAAGATGAAGCAATAATGTGAAATGTAAAATTCCACAAAAAAAGGAATATCAAAGAGGAGTAATTTTCTGTAATAGGAAACCAAACTTAAGTGGGATATTTTGAAATGGAGGTTAATTTGAAAAGAGTGAAGAATGAGATAACACATTTTATCATCAGGAGTAAAAATGAGAGAGTACAATAAATATAAATAAGATGTAACTGCACAAAATCTGAAAGCAACTGAAGTGTAGAGACTGGGGTCAGAGTTTGAGAGCTGTATTTTCACTTTGAGCAAGTTGAACCTGGGTGTTAACCCTGCTAAGTCTTAGTTCTCTCAGTTGCAAAATGGTGATAATATCATTAGAAATATATGCATTTCTTAATAAAATATCTGGATCATGGAGATGCCAGTGACAATGGTCTTTAACTTTCCTTGATCTCCTCAGTAGTATTTCTTTTTCCTGTTTTTATTTTGTGCCACACCCTGTGGCTGGTGCCATAGCATAGCTGATAGGGCATTTGCCTTGCATGCGGCTGAGCCAGGTTCCATTCCTCCGTTCTTCTCGGAGAGCCTGGCAAGCTACCGAGAGTATCCTGCCTGCACGGCAGAGCCTGGCGAGCTCCCCATGGTGTATTCGATATGCCAAAAACAGTAACAACAAGTCTCGCAATGGAGACGTTACGGGTGCCCACTCAAGCAAATTGATGAACAGTGCTACAGTGCTACCCAGTGATACCCAGGTCCCACTCCTAGCTCTGTGCTCAGGGATCACTCCTGTCAGTGTGATAGGGGGACCATATGTTCTGGGGTGATTAGGGCATCATATGGGATTCCAGGAACAAACGGGTTGCTTTTGTGCAAGGTACACACCCTATCCGCTGTACCATTGTTCCAGCCCCATCCTCCTCAATAGTGTCTTTGAGGAGTATGTTGTACCTGGGGATTCTCATTGTTCCAGTTGTCTGATGTCTTTTCTTGACTTCGTGTTTCTGGCTGTGGCTTGCCTTCATCTGGTGTAGCCTTCACATATTTCTACAGGCTACTACTATTGTTATGCCATACACTGATGATATATACTCTGAAGGCGATTACAATTGGGTACTTTTTCCATTCTAAGTAGTTAATGAAGAGAGTGAGAAATAGCAGAAACACTGCCTTTTCCCACACCGTGGTCATTTGGCAGGATTGTGATATCATGGAATGTCGTTCAATATTGTAGTGAAGCAGCATTTAGCCTGTGGAATGTATTTAAAGATCATAATGCTAGTAAGGCAATTAATAGCTACCTATGTTATTTTGAGTTACCTGTTATCTATTTGTTGATTTCTAATTCATTTATGGTAAGAGAAATTTTCCGTGTTGTTAGACTTCTTGAGATATTCTTGAGATTTGTCTTTAGTGAAGAATAAGATCTATCACTATGAACCCAGGCACAATGGCCACCTTTTTTTTTTTTTTCTGTTCCTGGGTGAACTGTTTTAAGTTGATGAGGTATTGTTGGATGGTAACACTGTACAATTTTTTTTAATCATACTAATTTTTGAGATAAGGATATTGAAGTCTCTCTCTATAGTTGTGGGTTTTCTGTTTTTCCTTGCATTTTCTTTTAAACTTTTGTGAGTTTTACAATTTTGGTAAAGGTAAAGGCCTTTACCAAATTTTGGTATTAAGTATATAAAAATTTAAGATTGTTCTGCTCTGAAACCCACTTATTAAGTTACTAATATAGCCCTCAATTTTTTAATTGGTATTCTGATATATCTTTTCCATTGTTTTAATTTATTACGTAGATTTTGGGGCCATACCTGGCATTGCTCAGGGGGTTACTTCTGGCACGGTTCTTGGGGGCGGGGGCAGTTAAACCTGGGACTCCCACATCCAGAGAACGCCAGTCCAGGTGGCCAATTAAGCCCTCCAATTAAAAAGTTTTTTTTATTGGTTAAATCAAGAGCCTTTTTTAATACTTAAAAGTGTTCTTGTAAGCAGCATATTGGTGAGTCTGGCAGTTTTAGCTGATGTGTTATGTTCTTACAGTTAATTGGATTTTGAAGACCATGTTCATTTCATATGACTTTTTGGTATGAGCAAGTTTAATTCATTTGGTTATTTGATTTTTTCAATGTCTTATTTCATGTTTCCTCTTTTATTGGTGCTTTCTTTAGAGTTCTTAAATATGTATATATATATATTTTTTTTTCCCTTTGGGTCACACCTGGCGATGCACAGGGGTTACTCCTGGTTCTGCACTCAGGAATTACTCCTGGAGGTGCTCAGGGGACTATATGGGATGCTGGGAATCGAACCCAGGTTGGCCGCGTGCAAGGCAAACACCTTACCTGCTGTGCTATCGCTCCAGCCTAAAAAAATAAGATGATTAATATTATTATAATAATCATCTTACTGTCATCTCAATTTATCTGTTTATTGGTACTTTCTTTAGTTTTTTAAATCAATGTTTTATACTTTTCAATGTTTGGTCTTTTAGCTACTTGATTATAGATATTTTAAAACAACTTTATAACTACTCTCATATGGTAAAAGATTGGACCAAATGTAATAGAGTCTATAAGATAGAGAGAAATATAACAAAAAACTAAGTGAACAAAGATGAGCTGTTACATCAGCTTTTTACTAAGCTGTTTCTTAGGTGATATGAATCTAACTGTTAGCAACTAAATCTTTCTTGGGCTTTCTTTTTAGGTGGATTGGACTCTAAACATTGGGGAGCAAGCCCTTGATATCTGTATTGTTTCTTTCAATCAGTCAGTATCTTCCGTTTTTGTGCTTGGTGAGAGAAACTTTTTTTGCCTTAAGGAAAATGGACAAATTCGATTCATGAAGAAACTTGATTGTAGTCCGAGCTGTTTTCTCCCATATTGCTCAGGTATGTACAAAAATTTTCTGATATATTTTTTTTGTATGGAAGAAAAAGCCATCCTTATACACATATGTTTAGACATATAAGTAAATCATTTTATGCTAAGTATACAATAGAAATTTAAAAAATTTGGGGGTGGTGACCACTTGCAGTAGTATTCAGGTCTCTGCCTTTCAGTTCTGTGCTTAGGGCCTGCTCCTGACGCAGCTCACTGGGCTGTGCAGTGCCAGGGATCAGCCCAGGTCCCCAGGATGCAATGTGTATATTCCAGCCTTTGCTCATTTTTTTGACATAGAGATTTATATTTAAAAAGATTTTTTTCTTTTTTAAATTGAATCACTATGAGATAAGCCCTTCCAAAGCTGTCCATGATTATGTTTCAGTCATATAGTGTTCCAACACCCATCCCTCCACAAGTGTACATTTCCCAGCACCAGTGTCCCTGGTTCTCCTCCCATCACCTTGCCCCCCACCCCCCCTCCACCCCCTTAGCCTGCCTCCTCTCTCTCTCTCTCTCTCTCTCTCTCTCTCTCTCTATCTCTCTCTGTCTCTCTCTTCTCTCTCTGTCTCTTTCTTTGTCTCTTTCTCTCTGTGTCTCTCTCTGTCTGTCTCTCTCTCTCCTTTTTGGGCATTTTGGTTTGCAATACAGATACTGAAAGATTATCAGGAATATTTCTTTACCTACATTTAAATCTTGGTTCTTGTCCAGCGTAATCATTTCCAGCTATTAAAGTTATACTGTTCCCTTCTCTCTTCTCTATCTTACCTATATTCTGCTCCCCATACACTTGTAGTTGTTTTCAAATATTGACCAGTCCTCCTAGTCCCTGCTTTCCCTGACCATAGATATTAGTCTTCACACACACACACACACACATACACACACAACACACACATATACATCACGGTCACAGTCCTCCCATTGTTCATCGATTTGCTCGAGCGGGCCCAGTAACATCTCCATCATAAGACTTGTTGTTGCTGTGTTTGGCATATCGAATACGTCACTGGTAGCTTGCCAGGCTCTGCTGTGTGGGCGAGAGACTCTCAGTAGCTTGCCAGGCTCTCTGAGAGGGGCGGAGGAATAGAACTCGGGTCAGCCATGTTGGCCGCTTGTAAGGCAAATCCCCTACCGCTGTGCTATCGCTCCACATATACATATATATCACAAATGTATATATCACAAATGAATGTAAGGTAAAGGTAAAGGCCCTCCCGTTGATCGTCGATTTGCTCGAGCGGGCCCAGTAACGTCTCCATTGGAGACTTTGTTGTTACTGTGTCTGGCATATCGAATACTCTCGGTAGCTTGCCGGGCTCTCCGAGAGGGGCGGAGGAATCGAACTCGGGTCGGCCATGTTGGCCGCTTGTAAGGCGAACGCCCTACCCGCTGTGCTATCGCTCCAGCTATCTGTCCCTTTTCTTCTGACTGATTTCACTCAGTATGATCTTTTCCATGTCCATATTTAAAGACAAATTTCATGACTTTATTTTTCCTAACAGGTGCATAATATTCCATTGTGTAGATGCACCATTGTTTCTTTATCCAGTCATCTGTTCTCAGGCACTGAAGTTGTTTCAGATTCTGGCTATTGTGAAGAGTGCTGCAATGAACATAGGAGTGCAGTTGGTGTTTCTGCTGTGTGTTTTTGGGACACTAGGGTATATTTTCAAATGTGATATTGCTGGGTCAAATGGGAGCTCAATTTCTAGTTTTTTGTGGATTGCCCATTTTGTTTTCCAAAAAGGTTGGTTGGACCAGTCCATATTCCCACTAACAGTGAAGGAGATTCCCCTTTTCCCCACATCTATGCCAACACTAGTTGCTATTGTTCTGTTGGATTTGTGCCAGTCTCAGTGGTGTGAGATGATATCTCATTGTTGTTTTTATCTGCATCTCCCTGATGACTAGTGATGAAGAGCATTTTTTCATGTGTCTTTTGACCATTTTAATTTCTTCTTTGAGAAAATGTCTGTTTATTTCATTGCCCTATTTTTTGATGGGGTTGGATTTTTTTCCTGTAGGGTTCAACCAGTACCTTGTATATATTTGGTATTATAAACCCTTAATCAGAAGGGTATTGAGTAAATAACCTTTTCTGTTCCATAGGCTGTCTTTAAATATTGGTCACTATTTATTTTGAGATCGGGCGCGTTCAGGGTGGTATGGCCGTAGACTAAAGAGGTCTTCTTTTTTTTTTTTGGCTTTTTGGGTCACACCTGGTGATGCACAGGGGTTCCTCCTGGCTCTGCACTCAGGAAAGACTCCTGGCGGTGCTCAGGGGACCAACTGGGATGCTGGGGATCAAACCCGGGTCGGCCGCGTGCCAGACAAACGCCCTCCCCGCTGTGCTATCGCCCCAGCCCCAGCACAGCGGTAGGGCATTCGCCTTGCACGCAGCCAACATGGCTGACCCGAGTTTGATTCCTCTGCCCCTCTCCGAGAGCCCGCCAAGTTACCGAGAGGATCTCGCCCGCACGGCAGAGCCTGGCAAGCTCCCCGTGACGTATTCGATATGCCAAACACAGTAACAACAAAATCTCCAATGGAGACGTTACTGGGCCCGCTCAAGCAAATCGATGAACAACGGGATGGCCTTTACCTTTACTATTTACCTTATTTCTTTTGAGGTGAATAAGATTAAAGAAGTTTGAAGTAGTCCTGTTTGTTTATCTTTGCTTCCACTTTCTTGGTCATTGGTGTTTCATCTTTAAAGATACTTTTAGCTTCAATATTATGAAGGGTTTAGCCTACATTTTCCTGTTTTTATATTCAGTTAAAACTTTTAATTTTTTTAGAATTTTTATTTAAAAATTATTATTTATTATTTATTTATTTATTACCATGAGATACAGTTGTAGACTTACAAATTTTTGTGCTTGGGTTTCAGTTATACAGTGATCCAGTACCCATCCCTCCACCAGTGCCCATTCTCTATCATTTTTTAAAAAATTTTTGTTAGTGAAACATCATGAGGTACAGTTGTAGATTTACAAATTTTGGTGCTTGGGTTTCAATTGTACAATGATGAAACACCCATCCCTCCACCAGTGCCCATTTTCCACCACCACAGGTCCCAGTATCCCTCCCACCCCCATCCCCCTGTTCCACCCTGCCTCTGTGGCAGGGTATTCCCTCTTGTTCTCTCTCCCCTTTTGGGTGTTGTGGTTTGCAAAAGAGGCATTGAGTGGCAATAATGTTTGGTCTGTAGTCTACTTTCAGCATGCTTCTCCCATCCTGGGAGGTTCCTTCCAACACACTTAATTTGGTGCTCCTTTATCAGAGCTACCTTTTCTCCTAGCGTGTGTGGCTGGCCTCCAAGCCATGGAGCAAAACTCCTGGTACTAATCTCGGCCATTCTTGGGTGTTAGTCTCCTATTTTGTTACTTTATGTTCCCCAGATGAATGCAATCTTTCTATGTCTATCCCTTTTTTTCTGACTCATTTCACTTAGCATGATACTTTCCATGTAGTACCACTTGTATGTAAATTTCATGACTTCATCTTTTCTAACAGCTACATAGTACTCCATTGTGTAGATGTACCAAAGTTCCTTTAACCAGTCATCTGTTCTCGGGCACTCAGGTGTTTTTCCAGATTCTGGCTATTGTAAAGAGTGCTTCAATGAACAAACAAGTGCAGATGTCACTTCGACTATACTTTTTTGCCTCTCTGGGATATATTCCCAGGAGTGGTATTTCTGGGTCAAATGGGAACTCGATTTCTAATTTTTTGAGAATAGTCCATACTGTTTTCCAAAAGGGCTGAACCAGTCGGCATTCCCACCAGCAGTGAAGGAGGATCCCTTTCTCGCCACATCCGTGCCAGCACCGATTGCTTTTGTTCTTTTGGATGTGGGTCAGTCTATGTGGTGTGAAATGATATCTCATTGTTGTTTTGATCTGCATCTCCCTGATGATTAATGATGTTAGCCTACATTTTTCTATGTGCCTTATGCATTCTGGTATTCTGGTCAGATGTTTAGGTATTTAATTCGTTTTGATGTGACTTTTGTGCATGGCGTTAGGTAGATGTCTGAGCCCATTTTTTTTTATGTAGCTGTACAGTTTTGCCAGCATCACTTGTTAAAAGAGTTTCCTTCTCCACTTCATATTTATTGATCCCTTATCAAAGATTAAATTAACATATATTTGAGGGTCTGTGTAGGATATTTAACCCTATTCCATTGGTTTGCGGGTCTGTCTTTATTCCAGTACCATGCTGTTTTACCTACTACTGCTTTGTAGTGCAGTTTGAAGTTGGGGAATGTGATACCTCCCATCTTATTTTTTCCAGGAATTGCTTTAGCTGTTCATGGGGATTTATTGCTCCATATAAATTTCAGGAATGTTTGATCAATTTCTTTGAAAAATGTCATGGGTATCTTTATAAGGATCTTATTGAATCTATACAATGCTTTGGGGAGTATTGCCATTTTGACAATGTTAATCTCCAAATCCGTGAGCATGGGTTGTGTATCCATTTTTTTCATGTCCTCTTTTGTTTCTTTAGGTAGTGTTTTATCATTTTCTTTGTACAGGTCCTTTACCTCCTTAGTTAGATTGATTCTGAGGTACTTGATTTTTTGAGGCATGATTGTTAAAGGGATTTTTTTTAAAATATCACTTTGTTCTCTTTCTTTATTTGCATATAGGAAAGTCAAGGACTTTTGGGTATTGATTTTGTAACCTGCCTTTTTACTATACAAATCTATCATTTCTAAGAGCTTCTTGGTAGAGGCTTAAAGGTTCTTTAAGTATAGTATCAGGTTATCTGCAAATAGTGACAGCTTGATTTCTTCCTTTCCTATCAGGATGCCCTTAATATCGTTTTCTTCCCTATCTGCTATGGCAAGTACTTCCAGTACTATATTGAATAGAATTGGTGAGAGTGGTTGTCTTGTCTCTGATCTTAGAGGGAAGGCTTTTAGATTTCCCCCACTGAGAAAAATACTTGCTATGGGCTTGTGGTAGATGGCTTTGACTGTATTGAGGAAAGTTCCTTCAATTCCCATTTTACTGAGAGTTTTCATCATAAAAGGGTGCTGTATCTTGTCAAATGCTTTCTCTGTCTCTATTGATAAGATCATATGGTTTTTATCTGTTCTTATATTGATATGATGGATTACGTTGGATAACTTGTAAATGTTAAACCATCCTTGCATCCTTGGGATGAATCCTACTTGGCATGGTATATGATATTTGTGATGAGTCGTTGGTTTCTAATTGCTAAAATTTGTTGAGGATCTTTGCATTCATATTCATCAGGGATATTGGCCTATAATTTTCTTTTTTGTGGTGTCTCTGTCTGCTTTTGGTATCAGGGTGATATGTGCCTCATAGAAACTGTTTGGGAGTGTTTCTGTTTATTCAATTTCCTGGAAAAGCTTGAAAATGACTGGCAATAGTTTCTCTTTAAAAGTTTGGAAGAATTCACTAGTGAATCCTTCTCGACCTGGGCTTTTGTATTTGGGAAGACTTTTGATTACCATTTCAATTTCCTTGATAATGATAGGTCTATTCAGGTATTCCAAATCTTCTTGATTCAGCCTTGGGAGGTTATAGGAATCCAGGAATTTATCCATTTCTTCTAGGTTCTTTTGTTTTATGGTATACAGACTCTCAAATTAATCTCTGACGATCTTTTGAATTTCTGTGGTTTCTCTTTGAGGTTTCTCTTTTCATTTCTGATTTGGTTTCTTAAGGTTTTTGTGCTCTCTCTTTGTGAGTCTTACTAGTGGTTTATCAATCTTGTTTATTTTCTCAAAGAACCAGCTCTTGGTTTCATTGTTTTGAATTTTCTTTTATTGATTTCTGCTCTTAAGTTTATTATTTCCCTACTCCTGCCTGGTTTGGACTCCTTTTGCTGGTCACTTTCTAATATCTTAAGCTGTGACGTCAAGTTATTTATGTGAGCCCTTTTCTGCCTTCCTGATAAACCCTTGCAGAGCTATAAACTTTCCCCTTAACACTGCTTTAGGTGTGTCACACAAGTTCTGGTAGCTCATGTCCTCAGTCTCATTTGTTTCCAGGAATCTTTTGATATCATCATTGTTTCCTCTCTAACCCACTAGTTATTCAGCATTGAGCTGTTTAATTTCTACATGTTTGAGTTGATTTTCCATTTCTCTGTTTGGTTAATTTCCATCTTCAGTGCATTGTGCTGTGAAAAGATAGTTGATACAATTTTTATCTTCCTTATTCTATTGAGATATGTTTTGTGACCCAGGATGTGGTCTATCTTGGAAAATGTTCCCATATGTACTGAAGAGAATGTGTATTTGGCTTTTTGTATAAAGCCTTGTATACATTAGCCCTCTATCTTCTATTTCTTCCTTCAGGGCCAGTACTTCCTTGCTGAGTTTTATTCTCATTGATCTATCAAGAGGTGATAAGTGGTGTTGAAGTCTCCAACTATTGTTGTGCTGCTGCCAGTGTCCTCCTTGTTTTAAGTATTGGCCCCTCATTGGGTGTGTATATGATTAGGAGTGTGATTTCTTCCTGAGGTACATTGATTATTAAAAAGTGGCCTTCACTGTCCCTTATAATCTTTATCAGCCTAAAATCTATGTTGTCAGATATTAGTATGGCCACCCCAACTTTTTGAGGGAGCTGTTTGTTTGAAGGATTGTTTTCCATCCCTTGACTTTGAGTCTGTGTTTGCTCCAACTGTTCGAATGTATTTCTTATAGGCAGCAGAATGTTGGGTTCAGTTTTTTAAATCCATTTTTCTACTCCGTGTCTCTTAATTGGTCTCTTAATTTTTCTCTCATTTAGACCATTGACATTGAGAGAGATTATTGTCATGGGGTTTTATACCATCTTTCTGTAGCAGTTTGTTATGCTTGTGGGGTTTGTCTTGTCTTACAGTAGCCCCTTCAGTCCTTCTTTCAAGGTTGGTGTTGAGTCTGTGAAGTTCTGGAGCTGGTGTTTATCCATGAAATAGTGTATAGTTCCTTCAAATCTGAATGAGAGTCTAGCCAGATAAAGTATTCTTGGTGAGGCGTTCATTTCATTTTGCTTTTTCACTGTATCCCACCACTGTCTTTGGTATCAGATGGTTTCCTCTGATAAATCTGCTGTAAAAATCTAAGGCATGCTTCTTTGTATGTGATTTCCATCTTTCACCTTGCTGCTTGCAATAGTGCCTCTATCTATGGTATTTATTGTTCTGATTATATGTCTTGGAATCTTTTTATTAGAGTTTCTTTTAGCTAGTATCCTTCAGGATTTTCATCCCCAGTAGGTGCCTGCATTCTCCAGCTCTGGGAATTTCTTTCAGCAATGTTATCTTTAACTGTTTCTACCTCATGTGAGTTGCCTCCCTGTCCTTCTGGTACTCCAGTGATTCTTATGTTGTTCCTCTTGAATTCATCTCTTATGTCTTTTCCTCGCCCTTGAGCTATTTTAAGGTCCTTTTCCATATTCTATTGTGGCTTGTATGCTTTCTGCAGCTCATCTTCAAGCTCATTGAGGCTGTCTTCAGCTCTTATCATTCTATTGTTGAGGGCACCCACTGAGTTTTAATTTAATCTCCTGAATTTTTTATTAGTGACACTTCTGTTTGTAGTTTTCTTATTTCTGCTCTCATTTCTTCCTGTATTTTATTGGCTGTCCATACCACTGTTTCTTTCATAGCCTCCTATATTTTATTGGATGTCTGTTCCACTATTTCTTTGAGCTCATTGAATATCCTTATCATTTCATCTCTGAATTCCTTATCAGAGAGATTGTGGATGTGGGTATTCCCTGCTGAGACTTCAGGGCTTTTTCCCCCATCCTCTCCTCATGGTGCGATCTGCGCTGTTTCCCCATGATGCTGTATTAGTATGGAGGTGGATCCCTCCAGTTTACTATCAGTATCCCCCCGCTCACTGCCAGGGAGGACTCTGGACAAGCTCGGTCAATGGTGGTCTCCTCTTTCCCCGTCAAAGATATTACCTTCCTTTTTGGTGCTCGCGTGTGACTTATGGGGGTCCTTAAGTTCAGCTTCAGGGGAGATGTTCTTTTAGATTAGGTTTGTGCAGATTCTTATGTTCATCATTATTTTGGTGAGTTTTGGGAGTATTTTGGTTTAGATAGGTGAGTAGACTCTTGGCCTAATGTGGTTGGGGTAGCTAGGCTGCCCTGGTAAGACTTAGGTAATGGAGGCTGAGATATGAGTTTGTTGCATTATGAAAGGGGAAATTAACTGGTGACCTCTTTGCGTTGGTGCAGATTTTGGGTTATAGTTTGACTTCCGGTGCACTTCTGAAACCCCAGGTAACCCCTTTTGCCTGCATACTCATTTGGGCAACTTGGCCAGAGAGGGGCCTCCCAGTTTGCTGTCACTCTTGCTCACATGGCCTTATAGGCTACCAGGAATTTAGATTTTTAAAGGTTGAGTAGAATTTTTTAATAAAGCACATTTGGTTTTGTTAGTTATGTTACTTTGTTCAAAGTTAGATTCAACTTCCAGTTTATATTCATTTTTCCTTCCAAACTGTGACTGCTCAAGACACTACGATGAGAATATTAGACTCTTTCATTATAAGCAGATTGAAACACAGCAATGTATAATATAATGACTTACTTCTAGTAAATGCCTAATAAATGTATTAAATGTTGTTTAAGTTCATGCTTTCTAGATTAAATATAAAAATGTTGGCCACTAGTTAGAGTTTCTAAGTTCATAAAGTGCTTTTAAAAATCTCATATTAGTAGCTTGAAGCTGAAAAATAATGTTTTATTATTTAAAATATTTATGTGTTTAATTATTTTTTTGCTGTTTGGGCCACATCTGGTGCTTTTCAGGGGTTACTCCTGGTTTTGCCTCCAGGGATCATTTCTAGTGGGTTGGGGTACAATAAGGGGTGCTGGTGATTGAACCTGGGTCAGCCAGTTGTAAGGCTAATACCCTCCCTGCTGTACTATCGTTCTGGCCCCAAAAGTCTTTATGTATTCAGATCTTTGTATGATTATATCTTCCACTGCCTAAAAAGGATAATATGTTGGTTCAAGTGACTCTTTTATTATTATCTTTTTTTCCCCCGTCTTCAATCTGTAGTTTCTGAAGGAACAATAAATACTCTGATTGGAAACCATAACAGCATGCTGCATATTTACCAGGATGTGACACTGAAGTGGGCCTCTCAGCTTCCTCACAATCCTGTCGCAGTAAGAGTAGGATCTTTACAGTAAGTGATTTAGTCTAATTTATTTTTTTATATTTTTATTATCCTTTGTATAATATGGTTACAAGAGTGTTAGTTTATGACATTAATGTACAAAGTTACCACACTCTACCTCTACCAAGGTGCCCACTGCTATGTTCCCTCTGGTCTCCTCTGCTAAACTCCCCTCTCTCCACTTCTCTCCTCTCTATTAATCAGTTTCATATTATAGCCAAGATTTAGCACTGTACACAGTCCTGTCTATTCCCTTGTTTTGTCTCTGTCTATTCCTAAGATGTGTGAGATCATCTGATATTTGTTCTCTCTCTGACTTATTTTATTTAACCTGATGCCTCTCTTTTATACCCTTTTAATTGGATGTAAAAAAACTAGAAGCATTAAAAAGTTTACACACCCATCCCAGCATCCCTCCCACCCACTGTCCCCCCATCCCACCCTTCCTCTGTGGCAGGGCATTCCCTTTTGTTTTCTCTCTCTCCTTTTGGGTCCTGTGGCTTGGAAGAGAGGCATTGAGTGGCAATCATGTTTGGTCTATAGTCTACTTTCAGATCATTGTATATCTGAAACCCAAGCACAAAAATTTTTAAGTTTATAACTGTACCTCATGGTGTTTCACTAATAAAAAAAAAAAGAAAAAAAATTTTAAAAAAGAAAAAAAGAAAAAAAAAGTTTACACACAACACTTAAGTTAGAATGGTCAGGATATGTAGGGGAGCACTGTCCTTTCGTTGTTCATCGATTTGCTCGAGCAGGCACCAGTAACTTCTCCATTGTGAGACTTGTTACTGTTTTTGGCTTATCGAATATGCCAGGGGGAGCGGGTTGGCCTTGTGCAAGGCAAATGCCCTACCCACTGTTTGCCTTGCATGCAGCCAACCCGGATTCTATTGCCAGCATCCCATATGGTCCCCCGAGCACCGCCAGGAGTAATTCTTGAGTGCATGAGCCAGGATTTACCCCTGTGCATCACTGGGTATGATCCAAAAACCAAAAAAAAAAAAAGATATGTAAATCACCCAAAATACCCACTGCAGATGGATAGATATAGACTGTGGCATATCTACAGTATTTTTTAAAAATTGGGTGTAAAAATTAAACATATAAAGTTTAAAATAATAAAATATTATTTTTTAGCTTCAAGCTCCTAATACAAGGTTTAAAAAAGCACTTAGAAACTCTAATTAGTGGCCAACATTTTAAATTTAATATAGAGTTTAATGTAGTGAATTGCATGATTTTATTTTTTCTTACAGTTGCTTCATATTCCATTGTGTAGATATACCACAGTGTTTATTCATCCATCTGTAGTGGGAAATTTAGATTGTTTGCCTGTTCTGACCATTCTAATTAGGTGTTGTGTGTAATTTTTAAAAATTTTTTTTTGTGCTTTGGTGTAGATACCAGAAGTGAAATCACTGGGTCATGGTACCAGTCTGTTCTTTTTGTTTTGTGTTTTGGGCTACACTGGCAGTAAGCTTGGGGCTTTTTGCTGGCTCTGTGCAATATTCCCATCAGAAAACATTTCTGTCCACAGTGAATGAGGACCCCTTTTTGACCCTGCCAACTCTGGTTGATTTGTCTTTTGAATATAGGCCATTCTCCCTGATGTGAGGTGATATCCCATTGTTGTTTTGTTTAAATTTCCCTGGTAATAAATGATGATTTGCACATCCATTGGCCATCTGTATGTCTTCTTTGGGGGAAGCATCTGTTCATCTCTCTCCCTTTTTTTCAATGGGGTTGCTAATTTTTTAATAGTTTGAACACTGAACATTGGACACTGTGGGCTGTACATCCCAGCCCAAGGAAAGAGTCTTTTTTTTTTCTTGTCAAGAAACTTCCCTAAGAGTTTTATAAAACAAATAGCACATACTTTTACTAAAAATGACTAATGATCTTGTAGTGCGAATACCAACAATAAAAATAACTTAAAATGTAATATCTGCTGGAAAAATAAAAATAATCGGTACTAAAAAGTCTTACTTATTACAATAAATCATTTACCTAATAATGATTAGATCAGTTAGCTTTAGATCTATCACTAATGGCAATAGATTTTTAAGAATTATCTTTCAAAAAAGTAGTTGCTTTCTCATATGTTATTAGCTACACTTGCATATAATTAATATAGTATGCACCTTTACCCAAAGCTTATTTTGTAACTGAAGAAAAATTTGTTGAGATTGGCCTTCGCAGTGTCTGCCAGATGGTCTTTGAAGTTCACCTGCCTTTTTCATCAGATTTACTTAGGAGGATTTAAAGCAGGAAAAACATCTTGCCAGCAGGGCAGTGTCAAGTATTTCACTTCTGGGAGAGTAATTCTCGCAGAAGTCCATATTCCCTTCCAAGAACTGTTCTCTTTTACCCTGCTCCTTTGCCTACAATGGTCGAGGTGTGAGAACCCAGATTGGTGTTGGCAGGTGTGGCTCACTTTGGCCCACGATCTCACTGCCCTCCCGAGTCAGGGTCTTCATAGACTAAAGAACTCATTGTCTGTGGGGGTGTGGGGGAGTGCCACATAGCAAGATCTTTTTTGAGGGCAAGAGTATTTCAATTTGTATTATTTATAAGGCACGGGCCTATTTCAAGTTACTCTACTTAGGGAAGGTCAACGACATGGCTTCTTCTCATAAATTTATGCTGAATTTATCACTTTTGGTCCCGATGCAGCTTTTAAATATGGTTCAATAAGCATTTTTATTTAATAATACAAAACTAAAATGAGTAACCTACCAAACTTCCATATATTATGCACCAAAATGCTTGTAGAAAAGATGGATACATGTAAATTTTGGTACTTGTGAGTGGTTTCCTTATTGTTATTTTTATTTAATTTTTTAAGTTGAACCACCTGAGATATACAGTTACAAAGTTGTTCATGTTCAGTCATACAATATTCCAACACTCATCCCTTCACCAGTGTTCATTTCCTACCACCAATGTTCCCAGTTTCCCTCCTACCCACCTCCTGTCCTGCCCTACAGCCTGCCTCCATGGCAGACCCCTCCTCCTCCTCCTCCTCCTCCTCCTCCTCCTTCTCCTCCTCTTCCCCCTCCTCCTCCTCCCCTTCTTCTTCTTCCTCTTCCTTCTTTATCTTCCTCTTCCTCCTCCTCCTCCTTCTTCTTCTTCTTCTTCTTCATCATCATCATCATCATCTTCTTCTCCTCCTCCTCCTCCTCCTCCTCATTCATCTTCTCCTCCTCCTCCTTCTCCTCCTCCTCCTCCTCCTTCAGTCTCTCTCTCTCTCTCTCTCTCTCTCTCTCTCTCTCTCTCTCTCTCTCTCCTTTTAAATTCTGTGATTTGCAGTAATGTTCTTGAAAGGTTCTTATGCATATCACTTTCCCTCCTTTCAGCACTCAGTTTTTGTCCAGAGTGATCATTTCCCATCTGTTGTTGTCATAGTGATCCCTTCTCTGTCCTAACTGTTCTCCCCCTTCTCTTTTGTGGCAAGCCTCCTATAGTGGATCAGTCCTCTTGGCCTTCATTTCTAATTTCCTTGGGTATTATTCATGAACTTTTTTTTTAAATATCCCACAGATAAATACAAAAATCCTATGTTTGTCCCTTTCTCTCTGACTCATTTGACGCAACATGACAGCATGACACTCTCCATGCCCATCCATGTATAACCAAATTTCATAATTTCAATTTTCCGAATAGCTGCATAATGTTCCACTGTGTAGATGTACCAAAGTTTCCTTATCCATTCATCTTTTCTCAGACACTTGGGTTATTTCCAGATTCTGGCTATTGTGAAGTATTGCTATGAGCATAGACGTGCAGATGGCTTTTTTGCATTGTGATTTTGGGGCCCTAGGGTATATTCCAGGGAGTGGTATTGCTGGATGGTACGGAAGCTCAATTTCTAGGTTTTTTTTTTGTTTTTTAGGAATGTCCTTATTGTTTTCCAGAAAGGCTGAATCATTTGCATTCCCACCAGCAGTGAATGAGGGTTTCTTTCTCTTTGCATCCATGTTAGCACTGGTTGTTCTTTTGACGTGTGCCAGTCTCTGTGATGTGAGATGATGACGTATCATTGTTTTGATTTGTAGCTCTCTATTAGTTAGTGATGTCAAGCACTTTTTTATGTGGCTTTTGACCATTTGTATTTCTTCTTTGAGGAACTTTATTCCTTACTTTTTTTTTGAAGATTAATTAAATGCAGATTGCCCTTAATATTTTCTGTTGTTAAAATATAGCATTATAGTCTGGTTATTCATTGGAAGATTTTATTTATTTATTTATTTTTAGCTTTTGGGCCATACTCAGCATTGCTCATGGCTTATTTCTAACTCTGCACTCAGGAGTCACTCTTGGCAGGCTCAGGAGACCATATGGATGCTGTGGATTGAGCCTAGGTCAGGCACGTGCAAAGCAAATATAGTACAAACCTGTTGTATTATTGCTCCGGCCCCTCAGTAGAAGATTTTAAAAGTTTTTATATACTTTAGCATAAAGACATGATTAGACAGAAAGAATTTTATGGAGATGTTAAACAGAATTTAAAAGCAATTAATACTAAGTTGCATATGTACAAGTTACTAGTTGAAATTAAACGCAACAGAATAATTTTGCTCCTCCTTGTTTTTTGTTTCTAGGGTTAACTTTTATGGTAGAAGCTTTTGTAATGGAATTGCTTACTTATAAAGGAAACTGCTGTTATTCTAATGTTTCTTTTAACTGAATGAGAATATTGGATTTAGATCAAGTTGATGCAGTTATATTTAATGACAGCATTTTGCTCTGAAACTCAGAAGCATTATTTCCTACTCCACCTACTTGGCAGTTGTAGTGCTTGCTGCCTCGTTAATTATAGCCATTATAAATTTGTCTGTATTTCCTTCAGCTTAATTATTTAAGTTTGGTGGGTTCCGCTCAGAGAATGTAAAGTACAGGTTAGAATCCTAAGAGCTTGACTGTAAGAATGTTCTTTCAGTTCTTCACTATTATTATTTCCCTCTCATTGCACCTAGTCGCTATGGAGGCCTGGCCAAGCAGCTTAC